AAACATAGGCAAACTTTAATTCAATTTTTCATACTTTCTCACTGCATTGAAGACGAAGCTGGATGGTATAAAAGCATTCCACTTGGATCGAGCAGATGCATGCTCATTCTTCAGTCATTTGATGTCATGTCAGATTTAACAAGATCTTCCCATCTTGAAAGTGGTCTTCTTGAAAGCTATCTGTCATCAAAGCTTGAGTTCAATAATCGCTTTGCAAGATCACTATCGTCCATTTGCTGGCCGTTATCCCACCGTCTTTAACGTTTTGTTGCAGCCAGAGGATCACAATTCTTCTCTCGTCTATCAGACCAGATGGCACAACTTCACTCCTAATATCGATTTTAAAATCTTTCTTGTCATCGCTTCCAGTTTTCTGTTTTCAGCGTTGTTAGTTTTGTTTGATTTTTTAAGTGCTGCTTACTTCAAGCAATAGAGTAAAATAATCTCAATGGAAGTCCTGCATATCTGCAACCTTCTTTCATTATCAACATCTGCCCTTCCACAGTTAAAATAATTTCTACCAACTTCGTCTTCTCTGAATTAATCGACATACCTAGATGAAAATACCTCAGTTTGAAAGTCAAGAACAATGATGTCGCAGATTCAAAGATTCGATTATCGGCTATCGAGTTTACGCAGTTGCTGCAGTAACTTCATTCCTTCATACTGGCTGGAGCACCTAAATAAAGAATAAACGAAAACAGATTATACACCTCCTTGAATTATTCCAAACTTTATACGAAACAATTTGCCAGCCTGTCATCAATTCGCACCCTATCTCATCAAACATCATATACTATTTCAATAATGCGAATAAGGTTTTGTTGTCTGTCACCTCAGGTATAGCGTCAAGGATCGATACCGATATTAATGATGTCTGGTGAACAGTGTTTGATGGGACACGATATTATTCACTAACTTTCCACGAGATATCTCTAAAGACGGTGTACCTCGCTGAAATCAAACAGTACCCAAAGAATTTGGACCCCCAACACCGTTCTACTTTTCTTTTTCATTAGCTGTCCCATCACCAATATCTGGTCCAATCATCCTTTGCTTGCCTTGAATCCAGGCCGCTTTCACCCTAGGTCTTTTCAAGAGGTTGTCTAATCATTTCGCCATAACGTGCATGAACCCATTAGCAGCAAAGGATAGTAGGCTGGTTACACTGCAGTCATTTGTATAGCAGCGAAACAGCCTTCATTGAATATTAAAATCAAACTTTTTTGTCCAGTCATTCTGAAGCTCCTCTTTCTGTCATTCCAATGAAGAGATTCTTTAATGGAAGCACATCTTTCATTCCATAGTCCGTAATTAGCCTCGGTTGGATTTCCACAAATTCTACAATTCTGCCGTTTCACAAAGATTTAAAATAGTTGGCGATCTAGTATCAGCATACATATTTTTCCAGGTATGTCGTACAATAAATCTTGTTTCACAATCAGAAGAGGGCATATTAGCGATTAAAAATGAATTAATGTGTTTAACATGTTAAATATCTCAATGCTTTCTGTAAAACCAAGGATAATATAACATTTCGCCTTAAAAAAGGATGATGCTCGAAGCTTTATTTTATCGAGCAATGAATTTTTCTGAACAAGGTCTTTTCGTCGTTTTCTGAGCCATATCTTAAATTATTTCTGTTAGCCTCTTCCGAAAAAGTACTTTATCATTCTGTAACGAATTTTTAAACTCATTCTTGTACTTCTCTCTGTTTCATCTGAAATTTTGTTACAGTCTTACAAGCTTACTTTACTTTTCTTGCAACCGACTGCTTTTCCACGGCTTTTTTGGTCTCCGCTCCTCGCTGCTCCTTTACCCTGTTACTGCTTCTTTATATATGCTCCAAGCTAATTCGGCTAAGACATAGCTGGTATAATCAATAAGACTTCTGAATCTCTTACCATCATAGTCTGATACTCCTGGACATCTAAGCTGTCGATTTCGAACTTTGTGGTGGATTGTCGGTTGTTAACCAAGGATCGCAGTTTAGCGTTAACTTTAGAAATCATCAGCTTACGATCGCTGCGGCATTCACCATTTATCCACACCCTGACAAATTTTAAGCAAGTTCGATTATTTCTGGTGAAGCGAAAACGATCAATCTATTTTCCTGTTGATGCGATAGACGAATACCATGTGATGGAGAATTAATGAGTGCCATGCACAGCCTACAAATGAATCGTACATCTGACACAGTTCAGCTAGTCGTTCACCGTTATAATCCATCCAGGAATCCTATACGGCTCATTGTTTGTTCCCATATTCGCATGTTAATGATCCAGAACAATCAACAATTCAGGGTTCACGACTTACCTCAAAACGACCGTAAAGGCTGGGGAAAATATTTTAAACCAAACTCGCAATGTCAAGAATTCGCTTATGTTTGACGGCCTGGTTCCAGCGGCTCAGAAGAGCGACTAGACAGTGAGAACCAAACATTCTTGAGTTGGAGCTGTACGTAAGTTTCGATTCGGCCAACATATGTTGCAATTATATGCTTCAAGTTCAGGACCGGGCTGCACAGTCGGTACAACGTCAGACTCAGAACCAAGAGGTTCCGGGTTCGGCCCCGATTGAAGTCACTTACCTTTTCCCTTCCAAGATCGATAAATGAGTACCATTCTTAGGTAGAAAAACAGTAGAATATAGAATATGATCGTCCCAGCAGCTGCAAACTCTGCCCTTAAAATAAGGCACTCCCGGCTGATGGCACGGAAATGAAGATCAGCGCTCCAACTATGAATTCATGAAAAGAACAGTGCCAGAAATAGTGCAATCATCAAGGTATAAGGAAAATCGACACGTCAACAACTAAAAACTTTCATATTTCTTACTTTCCTTTCAAGGGCAAAATTACATGAAATTCTTGGCTATGCTTAAAGCCTTCGAAAGTAAAGGGAACAGTGAAATAATGCCACGAAAACTCAGACAAAAATGTGCATTACGGGTCAAAAACATGATCGAGTATGTAGACTACGCGAAGGGTTCATTGACTCAGTTGCGACGATGTTCCGTTCTTTAAACGTTCACTCGTCATCGGAACAAGGTCATGCCGTTTTCATGAACTGCAACAGTGATCGACTACAACAGACATGAGTGCACTGTTTGAATTTCAAAAAGTTACTTTTTACCACTTAACATATTTGAAAGCATATACTCGTGAATATATATTCCGTTATGGTCTGTAAGAATTCCCTATGTAACGGAATGTAATAAAGAAAATCCGTGTAAACTCCTTTACAACGAACGACTTCAGTGATAGAGATTTTCGTTGGTCGAAACAAATTCATTTTCAACTTCCAAACATTATCAGTGATAAAAGAGTTAATATTCAGTCACTACCAAATTAATAGTCGTATACCTCTATCAAGCCGATTTTCATGCCCTTGATTCTAAACGGCTGGCAATTTCTAAGTAAGCCATAGATCCACATTGTTCCATAACTTCCACTTCAACTACCAAAGTTGTGCATTTAAAAATTCTTTTTATTCCACTTCACACCATTATAGCATTTGATTACTCAGTCAATTACTACAGAGATCGAAGTACTTGTACTACTGCACCCGAAAAAGAAAGCACGCATCAGAGAGCATGGTGTTATAGAGTGGTCATAACAAAACGGAAGACGTGCACTGCTATGCTGTCCGATGC